CCACACCATCACCTTATACATGGACACAAGTAGTGCACAAAGTACATACACGGTCACACCCTGGTAGAAGGGCATTCTTTAGTTATGTGGACAATTCGTCCAACCTGATCAATAGTTCTGTGGTTCGAATCCCACGGCGTGGCGAGAATGAAATACTATCTCTGTGTGTGTGTGTGTGTGTGTGTGTGTGTGTGTGTGTGTGCGTGCGTGCGTGCGTGCGTGTGTGTGTGTGTGTGTGTGTGTGTGTGTGTGTGTGTGTGTGTGTGTGTGTGTGTGTGTGGCAGGTATGTATACAACATCTGTGCTGATTTATTAGTGTGGGTATTACCATAAGTTGTTTGACTGAATGATGAGACGCTATATCTGTATGTGCAGGCAATGGAAATTTCTTAGAGGTGCTAATCTGAGAAAAGAGTTTAATCCTTACAATACACAATGCCCTCCAGAAAGACAGTATCTACGCTGTGATATCTCTTCTCTGTGAATCTACTTCTCGCAGTGAAATGCATTTGACCATGGGACTCCATTATCATTCTTGTTGTTGACATATGCTGGGGCCGCTCATTCAGTGTAGATAGAGTCCACGGAGGGCTGTTGGCTTTTCTCCACTTAAATTAAATGGTAAATAGCCCAACTCTGCAATGTGATTGAGATGTTGACACATGTTACGATGATCTGACATGTGAATTGTATGTGACGGAGGAATATTTTCATCTTACAGTTTTAAATCAAGGAATGGTTAGTGAATTTTCTCTTTTCGAAGCTAGCAAATTGGGATATTCGTGTCATCCAAACACTTTCTAAGACCAACAGGTTGCAGTTTCAACCAGGGGAATGTGCGAGATGGTCTCTTACTGTTGGTGGCAATACAGAAGGGTGTATATGGACTGAGTACAATGCAGGGCTCAGGCTTGAGTACAGCTTGTGTATGGTACCGGGCAACGCTCAACATCAGACTTAGAGGTGTGCGTCACACATACCAAAGGATAACCCCTGTGAACTTCCCCACAACCTGAGACACTTCTATGTGTTACACTGTGCCGTCATCAAATCCAGGAACGGTTCCTTGTTGTATGTAGAGTGTGTTTTCCACGTCATGATGTGGCAGTACGTTTTGTTTAGCTGTATCAATTGGGACCCGACAGTCCAGTCATATTCTGACCCATGTCGGAGCGGATTGTTGACAGCTTGGACTATCGTGGACATGGAACAAATCACGCATAATACTGGAGCATGCACAGGGATTATCTAAGTTGATAATGCTCTCATGTGTCTGGTACACAATTAATAGCTTGTCTTTTGTCTGGTACTGGATGCAAGACGTCTTTTGTGGACCCGTTTCTTCATGAACTGATATATCTCTCTTTAAGGCCGACCCCATACTCCCCGAGTCTTGTCATCATGTGGTCTGCTACATTGTTGTTTTCTCCTGGACGTCCCCTCCCAGCTGACTACTGACAATTCCAGTGAACAACTGGATGTAAGACAATGGTGTGTGTTGTGTGTGTGCTTACCAATAAATCCTCTGTGAATTTTCACTGACTTTTATCTGATAAAAAGAAGACTTGACTTAGAGAGTGAGTGAGTGAGTGAGTTTAGTTTTACTCCACACTCAGCAATATTCCAGCTATATGGCGGAGGTCTGTAAATAATCGAATCTGGACCCTACATTCCAGTGATCAACAGCATGAGCATCGATCTACGTAATTGGGATACAATGACATGTGTCAACCAAGTCAGTGAGTCTGACCACCCGATCCCGTTCGTCGCCTCTTACGATATGCATGGGTTACTGAAGATCAGTTCTAACCCGGATCTTCACGGGTCCTTGATTTAGAGAAGATTTGACTTAAAGAGGACTTGACTCCATATATGTCAGCTGGTTTTCGCAGACCATATTTTTCATTTTTATTTGAGTTTACAGTTAATACCTAAACTTCGAATTCCCCCCAATTGTTCCTCATGACCACAGTGGGAGTAACTCATCCTCTTGTGTTCACGTGGGATATGGCTCGTTCTTGCTCAAGTGCATCGAGGTCCAACTTTCTCTCTGGAACTGGTACTTTACAGAACTGCGACATCAGTCTTAAGTGTGCTTCTAAACCCTTGATGGTTCCAAGTTTAGGGTTTACCAACAACTCGTGCGCCATCAATAGACTTTCAATCTCTTATTCATAGTTGTCAACTTTGTGTCACTGGAAAGTTTGTAAATACGTTTGTTGAATAATCTCTCCCAGTTAAATTGCACGTGTGAAACATAAATCCCTTGCACATATGCCACTTTAGCTTTCCCACACAATGGCACTCGTTCACCTGAATAGGTCTTCAATATTATCTCCGTCTTTTCAGGTTTCACGATTGCAAACTTGTCTTCTTGCACTTTGTATGGACATCTGGGCCATCTTAAGTGTGTGTCGGGTATACATCATGCTTCTTTCTATTGTACTTTTATATGTTCTCCAAGGGGAGATAACACGCCCTTTGATTTTTACCAATCTTCACATAAACCATACGTACTGTTATTATCAACCACACTAAGTTAATCACAAGCATAGGCCATGAAGGTAACGTCCATTTATCGTAGATATTGAACACACCAGACACTGTCTACACGTCCAAAATGACAGTTATTTCATGTGTTCTTGTTCTTCATACAGACAGACAGATAGCCCTCCTGGCCACCAGTATCGACTCAATTTGGAGCCTTGAATATCATGATGATGATGATGATGATGATGATTTGGAGATTTTAAGTGCGCTTTTCCGACATGATGAATCTCAAGCACACAGTTTTATGAAGAGGTCACCGCGCCTTTACGTGGACACTGGCCAGTCATGTCCAGCATTGGTGGCTGTCTTTCTGTCCGATGGCTTGTCTCAGAGTAGAGCTGATATTCTGGAGGCAGCCACGAATTTGAAACGACTCGATGTCACGATTTCACTGTTGCTCTTTGGGATCGAAAGTACAATTTTCGGAGAGCCTTGAAACGTTACGCTTTCCATTCTCCTTAGTGAACTACACGTCGACATGGGGAATGGTTTGTAATATTTCATCCATGTGATCATTAAGGTGTGAAATGGTACTAAGTAAGTTACCCAAAACATATATTTCTGTCAGCCAGTAAGGACACAATACGCTTCACGGCATCGAAACGGTTCATCTTGATGTTATAATATACTAAAAACACAGTAAAAAAAGTTAAGCACCCCCAAATTTAAAGTTGTATGTCTTTATGAATTCTAAGATCATGTCATTCCATTTGATGGACAGACTAAATATGGTTTCTGGCTACGAACGGGTGTGTTTTTCGTTACGGAACGGCTCTCACGAACGGAGCTATAGACAATCGAATCATGCCACCCATGCTTTTTGTAACATGGAGTTTCACCCTTCGACTTTCCGTGGCTATTTAAACAGCTTTTGACTTTATTATCAGTTCAGTACAACATGTTATGAACAATGGCACGATGGAGATTGTCAGAGGCTATAAGATGTCAACTTAATGGGCAGCATTTAGCGGGTCTGTCGGACAAAGAAATTTGGAGGACTGGTTACAACTATACGGTAATCAGTCGTTTAGTGCGAAAACATGCCAAAACAAATCATGTTCACGATCGTCCCCGTTCCGGTAGGCCCCGAACTACCACACAGCAAGAGGACAGGGACCTATTGCGTCATCAACGACGTCAAGCGTTCGCCTCAAGTACCGTCTCCGTGCGTCTTGAAACAGGCGTGGCTACCGTATAGGCGGTTGAGCAATCAGACCGTGAGGAACCGCCTGAAAGCAGCAGGATTGAGGGACCGACGTGTCATCAGACATCCATACCTCACAAATAGCCACAAACGGGATCGTAGGATGTGGTGTGGTCACTGTGGTGATAGGCAGCAGTGGAACCTGAGGTCTTGGAGACGAATCTACTGGTCGGATAACAGTCATTTCCTCCTTCATACTGTTGATGGGCGAATCAGAGTTTGGAGAGATAAAAACAGCCGTTACACACCAAGGAACATTCTGCGAACAGTGACATATGGTGGAGGATCCGTTATGGTGTGGGGTTGCTTTTCGTTTGATTGCAAGTTGGATTTGGTTACACTACAGGGTACACTTACGGGCGCTCGCTACATTGATGAGGTGCTGGATCCAGTTGTGATTGATCATTTTGATGACCACAGACTTGCAACTCGGTCACTGTTCATGGACGATAATGCCCGGCCTCACCGTTCCTGAGCTGTGACCCAACATCTGGAGAACAATGGTGCTACTCGAATACCATGGCCAGCAATGTCTCCAGATTTAAATCCTATCGAGGATGTCTGGGACATAATGGGTCGACGTTTACAAAGAATAAATCCTTCTCTACAAAATCTGAGGCAACTGGAGGCAGCTCTTCACGAGGAGTGGCGGCAATTCCCTATGGTACAATTCAGGCGACTTGTAAGGAGTATGCCCAGAAGACTGGCCGCAGTATATTCAGGCGCCTGGTGGCAGCACACGTTATTGACATTGTACGGTTCCTCAGACACTGACTGAGATTTTTCAATATGATTTCTTTAAAAGGCGCATCCTTCAGACTTGTAATGACCATACTTTCATGCATTTGTGTTTTGGACCATATTCCATTCATTTTTCGTTCTGTGTTTTGGGGCACTTGCAGTCCTTGAAAGTTAGCATCTGTTATGCAACGAATAAACCATAGATGAATCTTTCTCTTGCAATTCGTTTTGCATCTGTAGCTTGTCCACAATGTGTCTTTGACACTTCTCCCTATCACAAAAATCATGGGGGTGCTTAACTTTTTTTACTGTGTATATATTTTCATGAGAGATCGATGTTTACTTTTTGAAACGGTAATCTCCCAATTGAACAGGATCGGGTAAAGTCCAGCCCTCCGCAGTACTGACCCTGTAGCCTGGCAACCACCCCACATAGAGCACATGGATCCCTCACACCACTGGTGGAATGTGAAGTCAGCAGGAATCAACTACTGTGAATCACAGTCTACTGGAAGTTTACACACACATATATATGCTCCGACATGCTGGCAAAGGTTTTGTTCATCGCTGTCATTCCCTTTATAAGCTACACGTCTTCCGAGGGACTAGGTGAGTTGTTATATTCCCTTCTCTCAGATCTTTAGCTTATTATATGCTACATAGCTTTACTTTATAAAGCTAACTTGAACATTATGTACAAATCTGGCGTGTGTAACATGTCCGTTGATAGTGCCAGTCTGTAATACTGCCCAGCTTTCACATCAACCCGGGTGTGAGCTATGTTGATCAACCCGGGTGTGAGCTATGTTGATTTGTTATCAACCGGGTGTGATAACCTCCACATGATCAACCCGGGTGGAGCTAATGTTGCCCGGTTGAAACCCGGGTGTGAGTTATGTTAATCAAGCTGCAGTTGATACCCGGGTGTGAGCTATGTTGATACCCGGGTGCTATGTTGTGTGCCAGTTAGAAGCTGCATTTTACCTGTGTGTTTACCCTGTTGATAAAGTCCGATGCTGCATTTTACCTGTGAATTTACCTGGTTGTAAAGTTAGAAGCTGCATTTTACCTGAGCATTTACCCGGTTGTCGAAAGTTGAAGCTGCGTTTTACCTGTATGTTTACTAATGTTGTAAAGATTTTAGAAGAAGCTGCATTTTACCTATGCATGTTTACCCGGTTGTAAAGTTAGAAGCTGCATGCATTTTACCTGTGTTGTAAAGTTTACCCTCTGTAAAGTACCCGTAAAGAAGCATTTTGCATTTTACCCTGTGCGTTTACCCTGTTGTAAAGTTAGAAGCTGCATTTTACCTGTGCGTTTACCCTGTTGTAAAGTTAGAAGCTGCATTTTACCTGTGTGTTTACCCTGTTGTAAAGTTAGAAGCTGCATTTTACCTGTGCGTTTACCCTGTTGTAAAGTTAGAAGCTGCATTTTACCTGTGCGTTTACCCGGTTGTAAAGTTAGAAGCTGCATTTTACCTGTGCGTTTACCCGGTTGTAAAGTTAGAAGCTGCATTTTACCTGTGCGTTTACCCGGTTGTAAAGTTAGAAGCTGCATTTTACCTGTGCGTTTACCCGGTTGTAAAGTTAGAAGCTGCATTTTACCTGTGCGTTTACCCTGTTGTAAAGTTAGAAGCTGCATTTTACCTGTGCGTTTACCCGGTTGTAAAGTTAGAAGCTGCATTTTACCTGTGCATTTACCTGGTTGTAAAGCATTTACCCGGTTGTAAACTTAGAAGCTGCATTTTACCTGTGCGTTTACCCGGTTGTAAAGTTAGAAGCTGCATTTTACCTGTGCGTTTACCCGGTTGTAAAGTTAGAAGCTGCATTTTACCTGTGCGTTTACCCGGTTGTAAAGTTAGAAGCTGCATTTTACCTGTGCGTTTACCCTGTTGTAAAGTTAGAAGCTGCATTTTACTGTGCGTTTACCCGGTTGTAAAGTTAGAAGCTGCATTTTACCTGTGCATGTTTACCTGGTTGTAAAGTTAGAAGCTGCATTTTACCTGTGCGTTTACCCGGTTTGTAAAGTTAGAAGCTGCATTTTACCTGTGCGTTTACCCGGTTGTAAAGTTAGAAGCTGCATTTTACCTGTGCGTTTACCCGGTTGTAAAGTTAGAAGCTGCATTAGAACCATTTTACCTGTGCGTTTACCCGGTTGTAAAGTTAGAAGCTGCATTTTACCTGTGCGTTTACCCGGTTGTAAAGTTAGAAGCTGCATTTTACCTGTGCGTTTACCCTGTTGTAAAGTTAGAAGCTGCATTTTACCTGTGCGTTTACCCGGTTGTAAAGTTAGAAGCTGCATTTTACCTGTGCGTTTACCCGGTTGTAAAGTTAGAAGCTGCATTTTACCTGTGCGTTTACCCGGTTGTAAAGTTAGAAGCTGCATTTTACCTGTGCGTTTACCCGGTTGTAAAGTTTGAAGCTGCAATTTACCTGTGCGTTTACCCGGTTGTAAAGTTAGAAGCTGCATTTTATCTGTGTGTTTACCCGGTTGTAAAGTTAGAAGCTGCATTTTACCTGTGCGCTTACCCGGTTGTAAAGTTAGAAGCTGCATTTTACCTGTTCGTTTACCCGGTTGAAAATTAGAAGCTGCATATTATCTGTGTAGGTATCAGGTCATGAAATAGTAACTGCTAATTGTTTGTTCCCTTGGCAGGTACCGAGTGTCGTGGGGATATCACATTCGTTATGGAATACGCAAAATTCCCCTTTCGTGACCGAACTAACTGTAACTGTGACGGCAAACGCGGGTCCTACTTCATAGGCAGCTGCTGCTGGTGCTTCTGCTGTTGGGACATCTTCTACGACGACTTTCTGCAGGAGCTCGGAGACGTCAGTGGGGCAAAGGTCAGAATTTACGTGCACGTCGGTGGAGTATTGTTCCACTGTACGTTCGACTTGCTTCAGCTTAATGCAAGCAGCTGTAGAAAAGAGTGTTGGCGTCAAGTGACCAGTGCGCCCAGAAGACCACATGTTCCCGGTTTGGTCGTTGTTGTTGCGGAGAGTAAACCGTCTGCCGTGATGAATGACCTCGTTAGTTCCGTGCGTGATGGCGGCGATGCTGTCGTTGTGGTCGGAGTTGGCAGTAACGTCAGTCGCCGCGATCTGCTTCCCTTAGCAACGGATGACAACCGTCTGATGATGGTTGAACACAGAGACGAGCTTAATGAGTCTGTGTCCATGATTCGCCAGAAGGCATGTAACTGTGAGTAACAGGAAATCATTCTAGCGTCACAACTGAACGCAGATTAGAGCAGTGTGCGTGTGCGTGGACTTGAGTGTGCGTCACTTAGAGTGGATGGGTGTGTAGGGAATAAACTACAGTATTTAGAACGATCCTCATATGGTTTGCATGATTCTACAAATTCAAACCTATAAAACGATAATACACCTAACATTATATAAGCCCATAACAAACTGGTTACACTTCTGTAACACGACACAGGCTGTGCGCCTACATCTATAGCTTGTCTCCACACTTATTTTTGAGACTATACACACGGTAAAATGCTGTTTATAACAGCCTTTCAGTTACGTGACTGTCAAACAAATACACATACGTCTCTGTCAAACATATACATTACAACGTCCCTGTCAAACATGTACACATGAAACGTCTCTGTCAAATATATCCACATGAGACATTTTTGTCAAACATATACATTACAACGTCCCTGTCAAACATGTACACATGAAACGTCTCTGTCAAACATGTACACATGAAACGTCTCTGTCAAACATACACACATGAAACGTTATCGGTAACGGTCAGGACATCAGTGTAACAAACAAATGTTATCCCTCTAAAAACTTGCAAAAGATTAAATTCTGAAAGGTAGAGCAACAACTATGATGCTACACAGGCCACTGCACAGATATCATTTTGCTGTTGATATTATGGTGCAATATCAGTCTCCACGAAATATACTTCTTTCATTCACTCAGATATTTTTGTTAATCGTGAGATGGTAACACATATTTATCAAATACAACGGTTTGGCCAACATATTAGCACCTAGCAAATATTCAAAGTAAATGGCAGCCTTACATATCTCACTGTTAAAAAGTTAAAACAGTTTACACCCAAAAATCTGTAAAGGTTGGAATACAATTAAGTTGTTTACCCTTACTACATTTTGTCCAAACTGTTACCATAGATGTCATAACTGTTACCTTTAATTCATAAAGACTATAGATCTTATAGAAAATAGAAACTTAGCGTGATTAATTCGTGTAGTTTTGATTATTTAAAGCAGATAGATAAGTAATTGGAACTATATTATCACACCATAGAACATATTGTTCAAAATTCAAATTTATTAAAGATATGTCCAGAGTTACTATTATTTGTCCAAACCGTTACTAGAGACTGTGTTTTTAATGCTACTACATCAAAACTCCTTTGAACAGTAAAATTCCATGCTTAAACTTATCCTAACTCTTAAAGTAATCATGAATTTATTATATTTCAAATATTAATAAACAAATTTTTGAAATACAAATCATTTTGTCCTGACCGTTACAAGGACTATCCAAACCGTTACTTTGCAGAATGGTATCGGTTTGGACAGTAACGGTCAAGACAATTTGTAAGTAAATCTAAAACAACAAAAATAATAATAATTTAATAAAAATTAAATGCAGTTTGGGTATGCCTGTTCAATCCTAATTGGCATAATATGAATTAATTTGTTTATTTGCATGTATATTTACATTATTTGTGAACATTGATATTAGGACCGTCACCTCCGGAGAGAGCAAGTCTGCCAGTTTTGACCCTAAAATGTGGCTAAACTGTATACATTTCAAAATGACAAGACTAATGATATACCACATTTACTGACTAGTAAACCTCTAAATATGTTTTCTAGCCCCAAAAATCCTTTTAGGTTAACAGCGTTTTTTTATTTGAAACGGACAGAAAATACTACCAATTTTGAAAATGACTCATACACATACTACGTCCCTGTCAAACATATACATTACAACGTCTGTCAAATATGTACACATACAACCTCCCTGTCAAACATATACATTACAACGTCCCTGTCAAACATATACATTACAACGTCTCTGTCAAACATATACACATGAAACGTCTCTGTCAAACATGTACATTACAACGTCTCTGTCAAACATGTACACATGAAATGTCCCTGTCAAACATAAACACATACAACGTCCATGTCAAACATATACACATATTACGTCTCTGTCAAACATATACACAATACAACGTCCCTGTCAAACAAATGCACATACAACGTCCCTGTCAAACAAATGCACATAAAACATCCCTGTCAAACATATACACAATACAACGTCCCTGTCAAACAAATGGACATACAATGTCTCTGTCAAACATATACACATACAACGTCCCTGTCAAACATATACACATGAAACGTCCCTGTCAAACATATACACATACAACGTCCCTGTCAAACATATACACATGTAACGTCCCTGTCAAACATATACACATACAACGTCCCTGTCAAACATATACACATGAAACGTCCCTGTCAAACATATACACATACAACGTCCCTGTCAAACATATACACATACAACGTCCCTGTCAAACATATACACAATACAACGTCCCTGTCAAACATATACACATACAACGTCCCTGTCAAACATATACACATACAACGTCCCTGTCAAACATATACACATACGTCCCTGTCAAACATATACACAATACAACGTCTCTGTCAAACATATACACATGAAAAGTCCCCTGTCAAACATATACACATACAACGTCCCTGTCAAACATATACACATACAACGTCCCTGTCAAACATATACACAATACAACGTCCCTGTCAAACATATACACAATACAACGTCCCTGTCAAAGATGTACACATACAACGTCCCTGTCAAACAAATGCACATACAACGTCCCTGTCAAACATATACACATACAACGTCCCTGTCAAACATATACACATACAACGTCCCTGTCAAACATATACACAATACAACGTCCCTGTCAAACATATACACATACAACGTCCCTGTCAAACATATACACATACAACGTCCCTGTCAAACAAATGCACATACAACGTCCCTGTCAAACATATACACATACAACGTCCCTGTCAAACATATACACAATACAACGTCTCTGTCAAACATATACACATACAACGTCCCTGTCAAACATATACACATACAACGTCTCTGTCAAACATATACACATACAACGTCCCTGTCAAACATATATACACATACAACGTCTCTGTCAAACATATACACACAACAACGTCCCCTGTCAAACATATATACACATACAACGTCTCTGTCAAACAGATACACATACAACGTCCCTGTCAAACATATACACATACAACGTCCCTGTCAAACATATACACATACAACGTCCTGTCAAACATATACACATACAACGTCCCTGTCAAACATATACACATACAACGTCCCTGTCAAACATATACACATACAACGTATCTGTCAAACATATACACATACAACGTCCCTGTCAAACATATACACATACAACGTCCCTGTCAAACATATACACATACAACGTCCCTGTCAAACAAATGCACATACAACGTCCCTGTCAAACATATACACATACAACGTCTCTGTCAAACATATACACATACAACGTCCCTGTCAAACATATACACATACAACGTCCCTGTCAAACATATACACATACAACGTCCCTGTCAAACATATACACATACAACGTCTCTGTCAAACATATACACATACAACGTCCCTGTCAAACATATACACATACAACGTCCCTGTCAAACATATACACATACAACGTCTCTGTCAAACATATACACAATACAACGTCCCTGTCAAACAAATGCACATACAACGTCCCTGTCAAACATATGCACATACAACGTCCCTGTCAAACATATACACATACAACGTCTCTGTCAAACATGTACACATAAACGTCTCTGTCAAACATATACACATACAACGTCCCTGTCAAACATATATACATACAACGTCCCTGACAAACATATATACATACAACGTCCCTGTCAAACATATACACAATACAACGTCCCTGTCAAACACATGGACATACAACGTCCCTGTCAAACATATACACAATACAACAACGTCCTGTCAAACAAATGCACATACAACGTCCCTGTCAAACATATATACATACAACGTCCCTGTCAAACATATACACATACAACGTCCCTGTCAAACATTTACACATACAACGTCCCTGTCAAACATATACACATACAACGTCAGTGTCAAACATATATACATACAACGTCTCTTTCAAACCTATTCACAATACAACATCGCAACGTCCCTGTCAAACAAATGCACATACAACGTCCCTGTCAAACATAAACACATACGACGTCCCAGTCAAACATATACATAATACAACGTCCCTGTCAAACAAATGAACATACAACGTCTCTGTCAAACGTACACATAATACAACGTCCCTGTTAAACAAATGCACATACAACGTCCCTGTCAAACATATACACATACAACATCCCTGTCAAACAAAACACATACAACGTCTGTCAAACATATACACATAAAACGTCCCTGTCAAACATATACACATACAACGTCTCTGTCAAACATATACACAATACAACGTCCCTGTCAAACATATGCACATACAACGTCCCTGTCAAACATATATACACAATGCAACGTCCCTGTCAAACAAATGCACATACAACGTCCCTGTCAAACAATACACATACAACGTATCTGTCAAACATATACACATACAACGTCCCTGTCAAACATATACACATACAACGTTCCTGTCAAACATATACACATACAACGTCCCTGTCAAACATATACACATACAACGTCCCTGTCAAACATATACACATACAACGTCCCTGTCAAACATATACACATAAACGTCCCTGTCAAACATATACACATACAACGTCCCTGTCAAACATATACACATACAACGTCCCTGTCAAACATATACACATACAACGTTCCTGTCAAACATATACACATACAACGTCCCTGTCAAACATATACACATACAACGTCCCTGTCAAACATATACACATACAACGTCCCTGTCAAACATATACACTACAACGTCCCTGTCACACATATACACATACAACGTCCATGTCAAACAAATGCACATACAACGTATCTGTCAAACATATACAAATACAACGTCCACGTCAAACATATACACATACAACGTCCCTGTCAAACAAATGCACATACAACGTCCCTGTCAAACATATACACATATAACGTCCCTGTCAATCATATACACATACGCAACGTTCCTGTCAAACATATACACATACAACGTCCAAGTCAAACATATACACATACAACGTCCATGTCAAACATAATGAATGTAAGATCTATGTTTCCTCTATTGGGTGTTGAGAGTACAGATATTACACACATAACACATATTTTATCATTAAACAATTCAGAGGCTAATGAAAGAAAATATACTATCTCCAAAAAGAAAGGCATAGGCCAGAAACCCGTTGCAAAAATGTTGTATTGTCAAACATGTACAACTCGTCCACAAATAGACTTTAGTGAATGCATTTTTACATCAGTTTAGAAGAAGGAAATGTCTGTACAACAAAGTGGATAATTTTAGATAACGGAGACGTTCAGCGCAATGGTGACGACGTAGCACGGTCCCGACGTTGGTTCTCCTGGCTCTCAGTCCAATCTCTCTCAACCTGTCCCGTACAGTTTGACCGGATTTCCTCCGCTTGGCTGCTGTGCTCAAACCCGTGGCAGTACGATCACGCACATGTAGTACCCGGATGTACCGATCTTGGGCTGCAGTAGTGACTCGAGGTCAGCCTGTACGGGGACGGTCATTTGTGATACATGTTTGGTTGTAACGGGCTGCAAGCCGTGATATCGTGCTCAGACTAACATCCAGACGCCAGGCAACAGAAGATTGGTAATCTCCAGCGTGCATTCATTCAAGTGCGATGTTCCGTGTCGCAGCGTCAAGACGTGGCGTAGTGATTTGACCTTGAAACTCCTTCAAAACGAATGCCGATTTCCGAAATGATCTGGATCTTTATAGCCAGACAGTGCATGCTCTTTGCTGCACAATTTCAACTGGAAGGTGATTTTGTTAAATTAAAACGCCTATACGTGCCTTTTTGGGGATAGTATAGTGCACCATTAGATTTGCTGGGCGAGATACAGTCACCCCAGAGTTTCCCCGGTATAGATTTACACAGTCAATGTACATACTGCAGGTACAGTATGGACTGTAGGTTACCAGAAACTGATTTGTCTGGAGACGATGTTAATGAAGGTCGTCCATGTTGTAAGGTCCATGCAGTCTACGATGTGTGCAAAGCCACCAAGTAGTGTCACAATCGTTTGTTCCTTATCCACACAAACTTCCAGAAGCAAATATTGATGAAGTGTCAGATTATCAAATAGTTTGTCATCCAGTGTATTTCTGCTGTAACTTATGACAGTCAGCACCTGATGATGCACAATGTCATATGTAGCACGACGTATGTGACATGCCGTCAGACCAAGACTAGTAATATGGTCAGTCCTGGGATTCGAACCCACGGTCAAAGGATATTACTTCATAGTGATACTGTGCACTGGAAGCCCTAAATTCACGTGTTCTTATACAGTATCTATTTCCTTTTCACGATTAACACAAACACTGGCTGAAGTGTAAATGTATGACTTTGTATATTTTTGTTGATATCAGCATGCCAGAAAGATGTGACTTTTGTTATGGCTTGGGACGAAGTCTCTTCTGGTCGCCAGTCCTGGGGTTGGTGCGCTGGTGGGCTTATATCCGAGTTCGTCAAGACAATCGGCAACCAGCTGGCGGTGACCTCAATCGACTGGCTTCCTGATGGCAGTGCCTATGGTTGTCAAATGAACTGGCGACACTTCTCCAGTAATTGTTCCTGCCACAAGTCACAATGGAAGGAGTTAAGCCCATCTCTGCTTTATCAAAACATCGTTAACAGATTCTCAAACCTTAGACCAGAATATCCGAATGTGATAGTCTTAATCACAGACCGACATGTTAGTTTTTCCCCTGAAGACACCCGGATATTTCGGGAGAACAATGTTCTAGTGCTTACAGTTGAGATTGGAAACAACGAAAGTCAAGATGAGTTACGGGCCTTGGCGACGTCCAGCAACGTGTCCTTCTCGCTGGGGAACTGGAGTTCCCTGATAGGGCTCATTCCGGAACTCCGGAACCTCGTCTGTAACGGTAAGTCAGATGGCAAATATGTGACAAGTCTAAATAAATGCTCTTCCTTTCAACAATTGTATAATTGCATTTCACACTTATTTCTTCTTATTACGAATCGACTTTTAAAAACATAATTATTGTGATTATATAATGTTTGTAAATTTTATCTACAGATATATCGCTACAGCCGAAAATTGTGGGTAGGTACTTGTGAGCCTGGCGGACTATCTCTTCTTCTGTATCGATTGTTTAACGTAACGAGATCACGTGACCCCTAGTGACATAAAACTGTACTCCTGGAAACCTGTCACTGTTCTTTGAAAAAAGTAAGTTGCTAATTAGGTCTGGTGCCCTTAGAAGATGAAATTGTGATTTCAAGAAGTCGAAAACATTAAATTTTATAAATGCCCTATTTGCCATTTGCCGCTTGTATTTCAACTGAATGAAACATAGACTGTAGCAATCGTCGTTTTGTTGAAAAAGACACTTCAGTAATATCCAACGTTACTGAAGAGACCCAAACCAACAAAAGGAACAAATCAGTGATGTTGAAACTTTAAATCAGTACTCAAAACTGTTTAATGAGTTTTCATACACATTTGCATCAGACACGTGAAGAAGCAAAATTAACTGATCTTGTCTGTGACAACGTGTGTTGTACTTGTATGTTCTGCACCACCTTCCCAGGAAAACTGAACTGCTTCCAGTCTATGTGAAGTTTAAATTACTCACTAAAGTATGTGTTTGGCCCCTCACCACACTTCATTGTCCTTCTCTTTTCCTCAAGGTTGTGAAACAAGAACAGATATCACCCTCCTAGTTGACCTCTCGCACAGCATGACGAGCTATGTCCCATCCATGATGACGTTCCTGAAAACGTTCCTGCAGACACTCAGCATCACAAAAAGGACCAACATGTGACCTTGATAACATTCTCGTCAGAGGTCAGAGTTGTCCTGGAGAACAGCTTCAAAGTATCTGACCTCCTCGCCGCCATCAACGACCTGAGGCCACAGTATGGGGCGTCCGACTTATCTGGAGCTTTAGCTCAGGCCGTGAATGTTGTGAAGAGGTCACCGCGGCTTTACATGGACACTGGTCAGACATGTCCAGCATTGGTGGCTCTTGTTCTGTCCGACGGCTTGTCTCAGAGTAGACCTGATGTTCTGGAGGCAGCCACGAACTTGAAACGACTCGGTGTCATGATTTCATTTTTGCCCTTTGGGATCGAGAGTACCGTCTACGAGAACGAGGCTATAAAGTCGAGCCATTACCTGTTGCAGTCTCTCAACCATTCCATTAACTATACGTTCCTGAGTGGACTGCACGCCGACATCGTGAAGGGTGAGTGATCGTTTGTGTATGTCTATGTATACTTATAGAAGTATGTTCGTTAGTTTGCGGTCACGAGTTTAAGACGATTTTGTCAAAGCCAAAAAGACAAAACTAAATTAATAGCTAATCATATTTTTCTATGTTGTACTAAATGTCCACGAACGATTAATGCTTACCTCAATAACGGTTATCTCCTTGGAGCAGGAAGCACTATGGGAAGCGACACAGACGTGGAGAATCGTAAGTTCAAAATATTTTATCATGCATTTCCTGTAGCTTCAGGCACGCAAAATATAAACCCTGTCAAAAGTCAGTAATTGTTCCTGCTAAATTTGTTAAAGACAACAACTATTTATCTATGTTTGAGTCGAACGATATTTTTTTTTCAGATTGCAGCTATACACCAACCCCCGTTATTTTCATATTCAATGTTGAAAATGAGGCTGTCGTTCAACTATACGTGGGGGAATTTGTAAAGTTCACCAAATCACTATCCACTCATCAAAATATCAGTGTTTTGCATTCTTCCGACATTTTGCCAACAACGTTACCAACTGATGTGACGTCTCACAAAACTGCCACCTCAACCCTACCAGAAATGCTCGACGAGGTCCAGTCTCCAGCCGACGTCAACGGCGCGAGTTGCATCATCATCATCAGCGACAAGCACGTGACAGCACCGGCTCCTCTCTTCCGGCAGATATGGCGTCTTGCTGACACAGGGTCAAAGGTTATGTCCGTTGGTATTGGCAGGAATGTCAACAATTACGTCATAGAGCGAATAGCTTCAGTTCCGAGATATGGCTTTTCTTCGAGACCCGTTTGGGAAAATGACATCCCACCGATGTTGTGGAACAGGTATTGTGAAGGTAGGCTTTACCCTTTTGTATCTGAAGTATCCCGGGGATCCCCCCACAGATGAAAATCCCAGTATGCATACGGACACTTGGCCTAGTCAATGACCTCCGTCAATTGTTGATTTAAAACAAGTGGGTATTTATAACATGTTAATATTGATTATCATTTAACATTCAACTTATGTCGTCTCCCCAAATGAAGTGATGGTCAACAAATGATTTGGTCCTTTCTAATCTCAGCCCTGACATTTAGTTAGTGATCTTGGACATATGTTCTTTGACTGATATCGTCAACAATTGGACTTCATTTGCTTTTAATAAGCTGTGCGAAAAATACATTACTTCAAATTCCGTCGATTGGTCGTAATTACTGGTTGACTGCAGCTGAGTATCACCGCTATATGATCCCGGGATAAGGTGACCCTTACTGGATTACGACGGGTCAACTTTGTCCTTATATGGCATGTCTGTATGTTTCCTCCCAAGCATCTCTTGTAAATTGATCACTTTCTACCTTTCCATCATGGAGTGTCCATCAAACTCGAACTTTTCAAAACTGTTTTATCATTCGATAATCCAAAATTGTGCTCTTGTGTGTGTTTATACTTAAGCTGATGGATATGGATATGAATATAACACTTAGCTGAAAGGTACCCTGGACTGGGTTCCACTGTTCTGGGGTGACTGCTAGCCACCACTGTTCACATATATCCATGTTTGATGTGATCTCTCTCTGAACCACTGTCTGTACTGTTTCAGCATGTGGCTTCACCACCGCCATCGACCTGGTGTTTCTCGTAGAGGCCAGCACTCAAACCTTTTCTCAGTGGAACGAGGTCCTCACCTTGCTCATTGACGTTAGCGACAACTTCCCCGTCGGCAGACACAACGTCATGGTGAGCGTGGTGACATTTGGTCAGCAGACGGTATCCCAGATTCTGTTCAACAGCTACAGCAACAAGATGGATCTATTCAGATCAATCCACAGTCTGCAGCCTCGGAGAGGGCCGGCTGATCTCACAGCAGCTCTGCAGGATGTGGACTCGTTGTTTGCAGGTGCGCGCGGAGGACGACCTGGAGTCAAGAAGGTCATGGTGCTTGTCATGGCACAGGTGATAACACGTGACCTCAACACACGTGAGGACACTCAGGTTATCCTAATGGATGTTGGTGCTAAGAGAAATTATTCGCCATCCAGATTCCTAAAGAGTTCTGATATTTGTATACACCTCGAAGGAGCAGACGATCTGGTCAGATACAGCCGAGACCTGCACGACATAGTGTGCAAACTTGAACCATGAACAGTACTTACAGCTGGAAGAACGTTAACACGTTGCCACACGAGACATGTATGTTGAAGGTTAACACGTTGCCACACGAGACATGTATGTTGACGGTTGTGTGATAGTGGAGACGGAATGAGTGATGGGCTCGTAAAATACTATCAATAGATGTCATATATTTTTTAGCTACGGGTGCAAAACTAGATATATTTTTACGAAAACCACCAGCGATGAGGACTTGTCGATGATTACAAATAACCATGTGTGTAGTTACTGTTTAGTAGCGGTTATGGTTAGTGGTTTGGCAAAATCAGAATGTATTCAAAATCAAATTTTGTATTGTCTTTAACTTAAAGGCTAAAAGATAGATATATATATATATACAGACACGGACTGCTTCACTGGCTTCATCAAATAAGTGTTTTTATTAACAACTATTTAAATCACAAATAACTCAGCAAGATTACCTTTATAAGATTACTGTTAGAAAATTCCGAACAGCTCTTTCACGTTTTAGATGTTCCTCTCATGATCTTTGAAACGTTATATAACACTAGTCGTGGCCGAAGACTTTGCGATGTTTGTAACTTAAATACATTGAAGATGAGTATCATCAATTAAACTAAATTCCTTTTATTGTTATAAAAGACAAATGGTAAAATTCTGCAAGACTTAGCTATGTCCATTTATCTTGCCTCCATGTACATATTTAACATTCATGCAAAATGAGTGTCTGGGTGAGCTTTAACATATCTTATTATATTTTTATACCATATCTGATTGTATATTTTGTATTGTAATATCCTATAGGCCTGTGGCCTTATTAAGTACTGAAATATATAAAGATGAGATAGTTACAAATAAACACAAATAGAACCTTCTGTCAGTCACTCCAATAAGAGCTAGAGTAACCACACGTAGAAGACAGAACTCGTAGGGCATTCACACTTACTTCACTTTACCGAATACAATCAAGAAGTAAGTCTGTGCTTCTTCAAATATACACCATATGTATATCACCATAATCATGAAAAATATCATTTCGCTGCATGAAGTCATAAGTAAAAACCTGATTGTTTTAATATAGTTTGGGATATGTATGGCAGAATGGAGATGTTGACAGTATGAAATCTTGACCTACATAGCTTGACGATAAAGCCGCAAGCTACAGAAATACACCTGTAGATCCTCTTACAATTTCATGAAGGAAAAGGGTAGAAAATTAGGAATTGTAAGACTACCCAAGTAAAATTTCAGCCAATGCGGGTTACATGCGATGTCAATGTATGTTTTCTACTTCTTGCGTTGGAACACAAAGATGGTCATAGGTCCTCATGTCTGTCTATAGTAGGCTGAGACCAGTGTACACGCTCTTAACAACCAGCACTGACAGGGTACCAAGTGGGATCATTTAGTAATGTGAATTGGAACCACCAGGCATTAGTCACTTTAGGTTACATACTCCTAAGGGAGTTGAACATGGAAAATGAAAGGAGAGTAATGCTAGGTAGGGGCATGATGTGTCATGCGCACTGAGATGTATCTGTGACACGTGAACAATCCACTTCACACATCACCGACAAAGAGTTTTTTGTATACTCTGATACATGGCAAGGTAACATCAAACTTCAATTGCACTTTTACACTACACATAATTGACGTAAATGGAAATATGCTTTTTAACTAAATTCCAACAATATTTCTTCTGAGTTGTATCATTTTGACATGTACAAAAACATTCGTACAAATATAACATGAAAACCAGTTGTGACTGGACGCATTCATTTGACTGGAGACGGAAGTGTAAAAAGTTGAAACGTTCATACCTGTAAAGTATTATCTACTGGCTACATTGGAGGGATCAAACCAACCGAACAGTTATTTCATTCTCTGGAGGCTCCGGTGTCCATGCCTTGATGAAAGAACATCATAAATAAGGACATTAGAACTGTCTTATGTGTTGTTTCTGTGTACTTGAAGCACCCTGAAAATAACTGACCTGGGTCCACTTAAAGCGAACATGTAATGCACGACGGGTGACCGACACGTCCTGAAGCCTCACATCATGAGAATAGTGACACCTTCTGTTGTGGACATGACATGATGTGATTGGATTTATCTACAAAGAATTGAGTCATCCGAGCAATTTGTGTCCCTGTGTGACAAACAAGCGGGGAGATGTGGCCATTGTAAAATGAAACCACTATGTAGTACAAGTGCTTGCAACTGCTGTTACGAATGAAGGCAAACACTAGTGAAGGATGCCCCTTACTAAGCCTCCGTGAAAAGGTAGACAGCAGAGGCAAGAAGACGACCCCGTCCCACCAGGAACACAAGCGATCCGCGGTTTGGTGATGATCATCTGTCGAAGGACACTTCCAGGAGAGAGAACATTCTATACTAGCCACATAAAGAAACTGTGCACACAGAAAATGCCTTCATAATTGAAATACAACACAGCAAAGACGAAATGATGTAGACACTTTATAAGCTGAAGTATCGGACCACAAGAAAATGTCAAAAGAACATGAACAATATCCGTAACGATGACGTCAGAAGTTCAAAATCGAGTAGGGGGTCACACGACGAAGTCACAAATCATTAACGGGTATGACCACCATGTGCATGAAGCACAACAGTGCAACGACGACGCATAGAGACTACCAAATGAGCATTGGAGGCCTGGGAAATGGTCTGGGGCGTGGTCACTGCTGTCTGGAACCTGTATCTGAGATGAGTCACCCGAATCCACCTGTCCTGTCTTAGCGTCGTTACGTCGGGAACGCACAGAACGTTGGTGGTCGGCGACGTCATTACTGTTTCGATAACGCCTGACCCATGCAGATATCGTGTTACGATGGCATTGGAAATGTGCTGCCACCTGTTGTTGGCTCATTCCTGCTCGACCCATTCCAATGGCTTCATGACGTTGAGCAGATGTTAATCTTGGCATGATGTGCATGTGACTTCTCATGTGAATTTGTGAACGTTTGAATGACCAAAGATCAAGCTTTCGACAGTGACAGCAATTTCAGAGTTTCACATGTTGTGTGCATCTGTACGGGCTGCACGTGCAGTAACACATTTCAAGCCCTTAGGCCACCGTCAATGACGTCACTTCGCCTGGCACGTGCATGAGCGTTTGATTGTCTCCAATACTTGCTATGTTCACAAATGTATTTATGTATAAATACGCTGTGTGCCTATATTAATATTTTCTGTGTGCAGTTTCTTTATGTGGCAAGTATAGTATCACAAAAATCTTGGCAATGTCAGCTCGTGGGTTCCTAACACTTCTGAGATTTGATCAAAAACACTTCAGGCACAAATCGTCTTGTGATAATCGAGGTATGTTTGAAGTTGATTTGATTCAGAAGGTTCTTGCAAAGTTTTGATGAAACTTTGGGTTAACCGCTCGCAGTCCAAACAACAATGAAAACAGTGGAATCAATTGACATCACCACCAGTAGGGAGGACAAACACTGTCATCTGGAATGGTTTGACCTCCGCACCTTGGGATGTGTGGGATCATGATGGACTATCCTTCAACTGGACAGACATATAGCAAGCTAATTATGATGCACATTCGAGGTAATTACGGGATGAAGAGTCTAAGAGACTAAGAGACTACGAGACAACTCAGTCACTGCCACGGCTACAATCTACGAGCGTGTTTTCAAGTCGTTCCGGGCCGCCATATTCTCCGGATCCTGTTCTGTCTGTTCCTTCTGTTCCCAATCACAAAGAAAATTCGAGCCGAAACTCAAGCAACTGTGGAGAACATTTCGGCAACCCAAGAGAATTCTGCGCTGAAATCTTCGACAAAAGCGCACCGATGTGAATGAGACTATATGTAGCATAATACATAATAGATTTAAAGATAAGTAAATGAACTTACCTATGTTTCGTGATTTCTGATAAATTACAACTCGACCTTTGTGTCAGTTTGTGGTTTATTTCTCATCAGATATATTATAATACAGTTGTACAGTTCCCGTCACCGAACACCCCAGCTTATAAGCTAATATACACGATCTTCAGTCGACGGCGTCCTCAACACGCCAGGAAGCAAACCACGTCAGCACCGTCATCATCAACGTTACGACGACGACGACACCAGCTGACTCTCCCCTGCGACCACACCCACAAGTTACAGGCTTCTCCCTGAAACAGAGTAGCAGAATATATCACCTGCAAGAAACACTGTACTTTAATAGTGCTTTGAGGACAGGCCACGTCTTGTAGTTCAATATCCAATCACTGATCCTTAATCCGTGGCATGTTGGATTAACTGTTGACACAGTGAAACCTTTAATGATATCAAAGGTCATCAGGTGGAGTTCTACGACCTTCCAGACTGACCCATGTTCACCAAGAGACTACACCTGTGTTTAATATAAACTGAACTGAACGTTGATGTCCTGGCGAAATATAAAAATACCTACCCAAGTGATGGCACTATTTTCAAAGCTACACCGTCGTCTTTGAACGCCGTAATTGAAGACGTCGACAGAATGTACACCTCTCCTGGAGAAACATAGAATATCATTAGCATATTTGGACGAAAACAAATACACACGGTTGTTGCAGCGTTGGGTGGAGTTTGTAAAAGAGTTTTGTCACCTTGTTCATCTTGACCAAAGGTCAGAAGGAAGTCCCGGGGCTGCTCCCTGGCATCACACGGACAGTGGTGTCGGTCACACACGGGGAGCGGGGACGATGTCCAGCCGTCGCTGCCCTCCAACAACGCTGATATGTTGCTGAAAACACGAGAGCCGCGCAGATGCAGATCATGCAATAAGGTGTACGGACATAGACGCAGAGACACCGCTACATGTACATGTAGAGTATCAGATGCTGACACAGGCGAAGACTAAGACATTACAGTAACAGACGCTGACACAGGCGAAGACTAAGATATTACAGTAACAGATGCTGACACAGGCGAAGACTAAGATATTACAGTAACAGATGCTAACACAGGCGAAAACTTAGACATGGAGAGAGTAACAGATGCTGACACAGGCGAAGACTAAGACATTACAGTAACAGATGCTGACACAGGCGAAGACTAAGATATTACAGTAACAGATGCTGACGAAAGAAGACTAAGACAGGCGTAACAGATGCTAACACAGGCGAAAAACTTACACATGGAGAGACATTACAGCCGAAAACTAGACATTACAGCAGATGACACAGGCGAAGACTAAGATATTACAGTAACAGATGCTGACACAGGCGAAAACTTACACATTACAGTAACAGATGCTGACACAGGCGAAGACTAAGACATTACAGTAACAGATGCTGACACAGGCGAAGACTAAGACACTACACTAACAGATGCCGACACAGGCGAAGACTAAGACATTACACTAACAGATGCTGACACAGGCGAAAACTTAGACATGGATACAGTAACAGATGCTGACACAGGCGAAGACTAAGACATTACAGTAACAGATGCTTACACAGGCGAAGACTAAGACATTACAGTAACAGATGCCGACACAGGCGAAGACTAAGATATTACAGTAACAGATGCCGACACAGGCGAAGACTAAGACATTACAGTAACAGATGCCGACACAGGCGAAGACTAAGATATTACAGTAACAGATGCCGACACAGGCGAAGACTACGATATTACAGTAACAGATGCTGACATAGGCGAAGACTAAGACATTGCACTAACAGATGCTGGCACAGGCGAAGAATAAGATATTACAGTAACAGATGATGACACAGGCGAAGACTAAGACATTACACTAACAGATGCTGACACAGGCGAAAACTTAGACATGGAGACAGTAACAGATGCTGACACAGGCGAAGACTAAGATATTAAAGTAACAGATGCTGACACAGGCGAAGACTAAGATATTACAGTAACAGATGCTAACACAGGCGAAGACTAAGACATTACACTAACATATGCTGACACAGGCGAAGACTAAGACATTACACTAAGAGATGCTGACACAGGCGAAGACTACGACATTAAAGTAACAGATGCTGACACAGGCGAAGACTAAGACATTACACTAACAGATGCTGACACAGGCGAAAACTTAGACATGGAGACAGTAACAGATGCTGACACAGGCGAAGACTAAGACATTAAAGTAACAGATGCTGACACAGGCGAAGACTAAGATATTACAGTAACAGATGCTAACACAGGCGAAGACTAAGACATTACAGTAACAGATGCTGACACAGGCGAAGACTAAGATATTACAGTAACAGATGCTAACACAGGCGAAAACTAAGACATCACAGTAACAGATGCTGACACAGGCTAAGACTAAGACATTACGCTAACAGATGCTGACACAGGCGAAGGTTTAGACATGGAGAGAGTAACAGATGCTGACACAGGCGAAGACTAAGACATTACAGTAACAGATGCTGACACAGGCGAAGACTAAGACATTACAGTAACAGATGCCGACACAGGCGCTGATTAAGACATTACAGTAACAGATGCTGACACAGGCGAAGACTAAGACATTGCAGTAACAGATGCTTACACAGGCGAAGACTAAGATATTACAGTAACAGATGCTAACACAGGCGAAGACTAAGACATTGCAGTAACAGATGCTGACACAGGCGAAGACTAAGACATTACAGTAACAGATGCCGACACAGGCGCTGATTAAGACATTGCAGTAACAGATGCTGACACAGGCGAAGACTAAGACATTACAGTAACAGATGCCGACACAGGCGCTGATTAAGACATTACACTAACAGATGCTGACACAGGCGAAGGTTTAGACATGGGGACACTAACAGATGCCGACACAGTCGAAGACTAAACATTACACAAACAGATGCTGACACAGGCGAAGACTAAGACATCACAGTAACAGATGCTGACACAGGCTAAGACTAAGACATTACGCTAACAGATGCTGACACAGGCGAAGGTTTAGACATGGAGACAGTAACAGATGCCGACACAGGCGAAGACTAAGACATTACACTAAGAGATGCTGATACAGGCGAAGACTAAGACATTACACAAACAGATGCTGACACAGGCGAAGACTAAGACATCACAGTAACAGATGCTGACTCAGGCGAAGACTAAGACATTACACAAACAGATGCTGACTCAGGCGAAGACTAAGACATGGAGCAGTTACCGATACAAAACAGACACGGAGACAGTCACAGATAGAAATACAGACGCATTTCAGATCTAGATGCACATTCAGACATAGAGAAACCACACATCCAGACATAGGGCACCAACATATCTGTCCAAGGAGCTATCACAGATTATCCAGTAGATACACACTACTAGGTGATCACAATACATTCATAACATCAGGGTGACCTCCTTCCAGAGACATGCAAACTTCAATTAAGAGACAGGGGTGACCTCCTTCCAGAGACATACAAACTTCAATTAAGAGACAGGGGTGACCTCCTTCCAGAGACATGCAAGCTTCAATTAAAGAGACAGGGGTGACCTCCTTCCAGAGACATGCAAGCTTCAATTAAGAGACAGGGGTGACCTCCTTCCAGAGACATACAAACTGCAATTAAGAGACAGGGGTGACCTCCTTCCAGAGACATACAAACTTCAATTAAGAGACATGGGGAGACAGGGTGACCTCCTTCCAGAGACATGCAAACTTCAATTAAGAGACAGGGTGACCTCCTTCCAGAGACATGCAAGCTTCAATTAAGAGACAGGGTGACCTCCTTCCAGAGACATGCAAACTTCAATTAAGAGACAGGGGTGACCTCCTTCCAGAGACATACAAACTTCAATTAAGAGACAGGGGTGACCTCCTTCCAGAGACATGCAAACTTCAATTAAGAGACAGGGGTGACCTCCTTCCAGAGACATGCAAACTTCAATTAAGAGACAGGGGTGACCTCCTTCCAGAGACATGCAAACATCAATTAAGAGACAGGGGTGACCTCCTTCCAGGGACATGCAAACTTCAATTAAGAGACAGGGGTGGCCTCCTTCAAGTCACACGGTCGGCCCTATTAGTACGACCGGTGACCTTTGAGCGATACGACCGACACCCTTCACACGGATGGCCTTCACCAAAGGATCAGCAGCAGTTTAACTGTACTGTCCATGAACGTTACGTGGTAAGGTAAGGGATTACACATGTCCTGTACTCACCCTGACATGGCGTGCCCGGTAGTGATAAGGGATTACATGCATCCTGTACATGTCCTGTACTCACCCTGACATGGCGTGCCCGGTAGTGATACCGCCCGTATAGATCAGGAACCGTCTGGACCCTGTGCATATGTCCTGTACTCACCCTGACATTGTCCTGTACTCATCCTGACATGGCGTGCCCGGTAGTGATACCGCCCGTATAGATCAGGGACCGTCTGGACCCTGTACATATGTCCTGTATGTCCTGTACTCACCCTGACATGGCGTGCCCGGTAGTGATACCGCCCTGACCCTGTATATATGTCCTGTACATCCTGACATGGCGTGCCCGGTAGTGATACCGCCCGTATAGATCAGGAACCGTCTGGACCCTGTGCATATGTCCTGTACTCACCCCTGACATGTCCTGTACTCACCCTGACATGGCGTGCCCGGTAGTGATACCGCCCGTATAGATCAGGAACCGTCTGGACCCTGTGCATATATCCTGTACTCACCCTGACATGTCCTGTGCTCACCCTGACATGGCGTGCCCGGTAGTGATACCGCCCGTATAGATCAGGGACCGTCTGGACCCTGTATATATGTCCTGTACTCACCCTGACATGGCGTGCCCGGTAGTGATACCGCCCGTTTAGATCAGGAACCGTCTGGACCCTGTGCATATGTCCTGTACTCACCCTGACATGTCCTGTACTCATCCTGACATGGCGTGCCCGGTAGTGATACCGCCCGTATAGATCAGGGACCGTCTGGACCCTGTTCATATGTCCTGTACTCACCCTGACATGACATTGTCTTGTGCTCACCCTGACATGGCGTGCCCGGTAGTGATACCGCCCGTATAGATCAGGAACCGTCTGGACCCTGTACATATGTCCTGTACTCACCCTGACATGGCGTGCCCGGTAGTGATACCGCCCGTATAGATCAGGAACCGTCTGGACCCTGTATATATGTCCTGTACTCACCCTGACATGGCGTGCCCGGTAGTGATACCGCCCGTACAGATCAGGAACCGTCTGGACCCTGTGCATATGTCCTGTACTCACCCTGACATGTCCTGTACTCACCCTGACATGGCGTGCCCGGTAGTGATACCGCCCGTATAGATCAGGGACCGTCTGGACCCTGTGCATATATCCTGTACTCACCCTGACATGTCCTGTACTCACCCTGACATGGCGTGCCCGGTAGTGATACCGCCCGTATAGATCAGGAACCGTCTGGACCCTGTACATATGTCCTGTACTCACCCTGACATGGCGTTCCCGGTAGTGATACCGCCCGTACAGATCAGGAACCGTCTGGACCCTGTACATATGTCCTGTACTCAACCTGACATGGCGTTCCCGGTAGTGATACCGCCCGTACAGATCAGGAACCGTCTGGACCCTGTACATATGTCCTGTACTCACCCTGACATGGCGTGACCCGGTAGTGATACCGCCCGTACAGATCAGGAACCGTCTGGACCCTGTACATATGTCCTGTACTCACCCTGACGGTAGTGATACCGCCCGTATAGACCAGGAACCGTCTGGACCCTGTACATATGTCCTGTACTCACCCTGACATGGCGTGCCCGGTAGTGATACCGCCCGTACAGATCAGGAACCGTCTGGACCCTGTACATATGTCCTGTACTCACCCTGACATGGCGTTCCCGGTAGTGATACCGCCCGTATAGATCAGGAACCGTCTGGACCCTGTACATATGTCCTGTACTCACCCTGACATGGCGTGCCCGGTAGTGATACCGCCCGTACAGATCAGGAACCGTCTGGACCCTGTATATATGTCCTGTACTCACCCTGGCATGTCCTGTACTCACCCTGACATGGCGGGCCCGGTAGTGATACCGCCCGTATAAATCAGGAACTGTCTGGACCCTGTACATATGTCCTGTACTCACCCTGACATGGCGTCCCAGAGAGAGAACGCTCGTACAGATCAGGGACCGCCACGATCCTGTACACATGCCCCTGAACTCACCCTGTCATGGCGTCACCGTAGAGATAGAGGCCGTACAGATCAGGAAGCGCCTTGCCTCTGTACACATGTCCTCCGACGACAGCGTGGAAGAGGTTCGTGTGACTGTACACGTAGATAGGCAACGCTTCATTCTCTGTAACCAGGGGTACAAGTTTATCAATCGATTGGACATTTCCTAAAGCAGGAAGAAACATGTGATAACATTTGCCGAACGCATCGTGTATTCCTTAGCAAGCCATATTGTATGTGGAGACGTGGGTGCTGACAACCGCTTGCAGTAATCAGACAGTCCAGCTGCCATATATGAAATTTTGCATTTGTTTATTGGTTTAGTCCGTTCACATTCTGACGTTTATATACAATTATATATACAAGGGAGAAACCTGATGACTCTGTACCTGAGTCTCATTCTATGACATGGCCAGGGATTAAACCATTGATCTTCCACTTTCCGCTAAGATGCTGCATCCATGTCATTCTGGAGATGGGAGCGGTAAAGGCCACCTACCTATTGTCCCATTGCCACACTTTGAGCTGTCGAAGCACTCGTTCCTTCCTTGATGTTCCAACCGTAGTTCCGGCCGCTGAGGATGACGTCGATCTCTTCATAAGTTCGCGCTCCCGGATCGCCACAGAAAATACGCCGCTCACCTATAGGAATGAAACCTGACAAAGTCAACCTAGTCAATCCCATAAGTCTTGCACAGCCAGTCACTTGTACATTACTGACACCCCATGTCTTGCACAGCTAGGCACTTGTACATTACTGACACCCCATGTCTTGCACAGTCAGTCACATGTACATTACTGACACCCCATGTCTTGCACAGCCAGGCACTTGTACATTACTGACACCCCAAGTCTTGCACGGACAGTCCCTTGTACCTTACTGACACCCCAAGTCTTGCACAGTCAGTACCTTATACATTACTGACACCCCAAGTCTTGCACAGTCAGTCACTTGTACATTACTGACACCCCATGTCTTGCACAGTCAGTCACTTGTACATTACTGACACCCCAAGTCTTGCACAGACAGTCCCTTGTACATTACTGACACCCCAAGTCTTGCACAGTCAGTCCCTTGTACATAACTGACACCCCAAGTCTTGCAAAGTCAGTCACTTGTACATTACTGACACCCAATGTCTTGCACAGTCAGTCACTTGTACATTACTGACACCCCATCTCTTGCAAAGCCAGTCCCTTGTACATTACTGACACCCCAAGTCTTGCAAAGCCAGTCACTTGTACAGTACTGACTCCAATGTCTTGCACAGCCAGGCACTTGTACATTACTGACTCCCAGGGTCTTGCACAGCCAGTCCCTTGTACATAACTGACACCCCCAAGTCTTGCACAGCCCGTCCCTTGTACATTACTGACACCCCCAAGTGTTGTAAAGCCCGTCCCTTGTACATTACTGACACCCCCAAGTCTTGCACAGCCCGTCCCTTGTACATTACTGACACCCCCAAGTGTTGTAAAGCCAGTCCCTTGTACATTACTGACAACCCCATGTCTTGCAAAGCCAGTCACTTGTACATTACTGACTCCCCAAGTCTTTCACAGCCAGCCCCTTGTACATTACTGACACCCCGAAGTGTTGTAAAGCCAGTCCCTTGTACATTACTGACACCCCATGTCTTGCACAGCCAATCCCTTGTACATTACTGACACCCCAAGTCTTGCAAAGCCAGTCACTTGTACATTACTGACACTCCCAAGTGTTGTAAAGCCCGTCCCTTGTACATTACTGACACCCCCAAGTCTTGCACAGCCAGTCCCTTGTACATTACTGACACCCCAGAGTGTTGTAAAGCCCGTCCCTTGTACATAACTGACACCCCCAAGTGTTGTAAAGCCAGTCACTTGTACATTACTGACACCCCAAGTGTTGTAAAGCCAGTCAATTGTACATTACTGACATCCCAAGTGTTGTAAAGCCAGTCCCTTGTACATTACTGACACCCCAAGTGTTGTAAAGCCAGTCACTTGTACATTACTGACACCCCAAGTGTTGTAAAGCCAGTCACTTGTACATTACTGACACCCCAAGTGTTGTAAAGCCAGTCACTTGTACATTACTGACACCCCAAGTGTTGTAAAGCCCGTCCCTTGTACATTACTGACACCCCCAAGTGTTGTAAAGCCAGTCACTTGTACATAACTGACACCCCAAGTCTTGCACAGCCCTTCCCTTGTACATTACTGACACCCCCAAGTGTTGTAAAGTCAGTCACTTGTACATTACTGACACCCCCAAGTCTTGCACAGCCAGTCCCTTGTACATAACTGACACCCCAAGTCTTGCACAGCCCGTCCCTTGTACATTACTGACACCCCGAAGTGTTGTAAAGCCAGTCCCTTGTACATTACTGACACCCCAAGTGTTGTAAAGCCAGTCACTTGTACATAACTGACACCCCAAGTGTTGTAAAGCCCGTCCCTTGTACATTACTGACACCCCCAAGTCTTGTAAAGCCCGTCCCTTGTACATTACTGACACCCCCACGTCTTGCAAAGCCAGTCACTTGTACATTACTGACACCCCAGAGTGTTGTAAAGCCCGTCACTTGTACATTACTGACACCCCCAAGTCTTGCACAACCAGTCCCTTGTACATTACTGACACCCCAGAGTGTTGTAAAGCCCGTCAGTTGTACATTACTGACACCCCAGAGTGTTGTAAAGCCAGTCCCTTGTACATTACTGACACCCCAAGTGTTGTAAAGCCAGTCCCTTGTACATTACTGACACCCCAAGTGTTGTAAAGCCAGTCAATTGTACATTACTGACACCCCAAGTGTTGTAAAGCCAGTCCCTTGTACATTACTGACACCCCAAGTGTTGTAAAGCCAGTCACTTGTACATTACTGACACCCCAAGTGTTGTAAAGCCCGTCCCTTGTACATTACTGACACCCCAAGTGTTGTAAAGCCCGTCCCTTGTACATTACTGACACCCCAAGTGTTGTAAAGCCAGTCCCTTGTACATTACTGACAACCCCAAGTGTTGTAAAGCCCGTCCCTTGTACATTACTGACACCCCAAGTGTTGTAAAGCCCGTCCCTTGTACATTACTGACACCCCAAGTGTTGTAAAGCCAGTCCCTTGTACATTACTGACACCCCATGTCTTGCAAAGCCAGTCCCTTGTACATTACTGACACCCCAAGTGTTGTAAAGCCAGTCCCTTGTACATTACTGACACCCCAAGTGTTGTAAAGCCAGTCCCTTGTACATTACTGACACCCCAAGTGTTGTATAGCCAGTCCCTTGTACATTACTGACACCCCAAGTGTTGTAAAGCCAGTCCCTTGTACATTACTGACACCCCAAGTGTTGTATAGCCAGTCCCTTGTACATTACTGACACCCCTAGTGTTGTAAAGCCAGTCCCTTGTACATTACTGACACCCCATGTCTTGCACAGCCAGTCCCTTGTGCTCCACACTGGTACAGTAATGGATCGTGACTCGTCATGTCCCATCTGTCTAATGTGACACATGTCCGGACACGGAGCTCTGCAAGTTCTGCAGAGTAAGTAGTAAATGCTACTTCAAACGTGTCTTCATTGGTAGATTTGGTCAGTATAAATGTGAGTCTAATAACGACAAACAATGCTTCTACTCACAGGCTTTCACCATGTTCAGACTCGTACAAAAATAGTCTTGAAAAGGAGGTAAGGGACTACTTCCATGCCTGTAATCCTTTCACCAAGCCTCGGTGGAACCAGCTGGTCACCGATAGAGTTAGAAGCCTCGACATATCTACTCGAATGGACAGAAGACTAATAGACTCTGGCCACTATGCACTGAAATTTAATGTTAGATCTAAACTTATCCATCCTGCATGTAAACCACACGAGAGAAAGTGCACGTGGTACAGTTGTTTATGACCATGTTGTTATTTCATGCTACAAGAACATGTCAGAGAGAGACGAACTGTATGAAAAGGTATTTGACCTGATCGATGTCAAATGCTTTGCTGACTTATGGTCAAAAGATGACGACTCCATTATCTCATTCTTCCTTGGTGGGTTTCCAGACTGTACAGAAGATCTTGAATTTGATACCTGGTGCCAAATGATGCTAATGGTGGTTGATGCTGTCAGTAAAATATGCAATTTCCTGTTTCATTAACTTTTTGATGCGTTTATATATTCACTTGTCTGTAAATATCATGTGATGTCAATATGTTGCTTTGATGTTGTTGAATGGACCCGGTGTGACAGCTGTGAGCCATGATATCTATCAGATATATCGGATTATATCTCCATGTATTCAGTGATGAACTTACGATATTCTTTCATCATCATCACTATCACCATGACAACTTCACAGGTGGTCACAGCGATCGGTATTGTGTTGCCAATAATAATCACTCACTTGATGATGTGCACACACCTTTTTCAAAACGTTACCGGAAACTGGAATTGTAAGCTACATCAGGTTCTAGTCTCAGTTCTATGATAATATGGAGCGGATGAGGGGCACATTACAACCGTGGTGAAGTAGGGCCGAACATGTTACAGTCTACAATAGTCTTGAAGACCGTTATGGGAAATTTCAAAGATGACATTTCTGGGTTTCTGGGTCGCACTTCCTGCACTATGTTGGGTTGAGTTGTTATTCCAACCCATACCCAGGAACAAAGTCGTCATTACACAACATCAGCAGTCCCACACGTTGTGACCATGTGACCATGTGACCATGTGACTATGTGCCTGGGTCACTAGTGCACGGACATAGTCCTACCATCTTGTGCGCCTGAGGGGATCGGGTGGTCAGGGTCGATGGTAGATCGATGCTCATGATGTAAATCACTGGAATATCTGTCCCAGACTCGATTATTTCCAGACCGCCGCCATGAAGCTGGGATATTTCTGTGCGGCGTTAAACAACAGACAAGTCAACACTCACCATGTTTGTCAGCAACTCTGTCCTGACTGCATCGCCACATATTACGACAACCGTATGCGAACACCTCAGGTCTCCATGGTGACTTGTCAACAAACGGGTTGTTATCGGGAATACCGTACCGGAGCGCGGCTCCGCCCATGAAGGTCTGGCCGTCCACGTCAACTCTCAGTATCTTCCCGAGAAGGCTGCTTCTGTATGAGTGAGTGAGTGAGTAATGGTTAGAGCCGCTTTGCATAGCATTTCACTCATATCACGCAGATTGGGAGGACAGCCTGAACTACAAGTCTCGGCAGTAGGTCTCGAGCAAAAACGTGACATATACGGTAGTTTGATAGAAAATATTACATTCAAGAATCGTTCAGGCGAGGTCATGTTTTCCTATTGTGCGGGTTATTTCAAACAATGCAAACTGGCAGTAGTCTACGTACGGGTCCTGTGCATGGTCACGTGGTATGCCATCATCACCAACCCCGTCCCCGACCGATATGTACAGGTAACCGTCATGGCCAAACAGCAGCTGGAATTGGAAACAATATGTACAGGTAACCTAATTGGACCGATATGTACAGGAAACCGTCATGAACAAACAGCAGCTGGAATTGGAAACAATATGTACAGGTAACCTAATTGGACCGATATGTACAGGAAACCGTCATGAACAAACAGCAGCTGGAATTGGAAACAATATGTACAGGTAACCTAATTGGACCGATATGTACAGGAAACCGTCATGAACAAACAGCAGCTGGAATTGGAAACAATATGTACAGGTGACCTAATTGGACCGATATGTACAGGAAACCGTCATGAACAAACAGCAGCTGGAATTGGAAACAATATGTACAGGTGACCTAATTGGACCGATATGTACAGGAAACCGTCATGAACAAACAGCAGCTGGAATTGGAAACAATATGTACAGGTGACCTAATTGGACCGATATGTACAGGAAACCGTCATGAACAAACAGCAGCTGGAATTGGAAACAATATGTACAGGTAACCTAATTGGACCGATATGTACAGGTAACCGTCATGAACAAACAGCAGCTGGAATTGGAAACAATATGTACAGGTGACCTAATTGGACCGATATGTACAGGAAACCGTCATGAACAAACAGCAGCTGGAATTGGAAACAATATGTACAGGTAACCTAATTGGACCGATATGTACAGGTAACCGTCATGAACAAACAGCAGCTGGAATTGGAAACAACTAATACGACCTTGACTTTCGACCTTTACCTTGACATTTACATTGCTGCTGCATTACACGTGACGATGTTCCGGATACCGCAGTACACGTGACGATGTTCCGGATACCGTATTACACGTGACGATGTTCCGGAAACCGCATTACACGTGACGATGTTCCGGAATACCGCATTACACGTGACGATGTTCCGGATACCGTATTACACGTGACGATGTTCCGGAAACCGCATTACACGTGACGATGTTCCGGATACCGCAGTACACGTGACGATGTTCCGGATACCGTATTACACGTGACGATGTTCCGGAAACCGCATTACACGTGACGATGTCCGGAATACCGCATTACACGTGACGATGTTCCGGATACCGTATTACACGTGACGATGTTCCGGATACCGCAGTACACGTGACGATGTTCCAGATACCGTATTACACGTGACGATGTTCCGGAAACCGCATTACACGTGACGATGTTCCGGATACCGCATTACACGTGACGATGTTCCGGATACTCTACAGTTTTTCCGGGTAACAGTGTATCCTGACTGTATCTTCAGTGTAATACCAACTAGCATCACTTTCTATATAGTTACAGACAGTCATGATACATAGACTATCATCGCACAAGAGTGTAATACTATTGTTTTGTGAACACTTACCTGGCCAGCATTCCCAGCGTTAGTTATTTGTTCAATTCTCAACAATATCCTCTCAGTGGTCGGTAGTGCCACATCGTCGACGACGGTAAACTCGCTGACGTACGAGAACTGAACTCCCGAACTGTTTCCAATGTAATACACATAAAGTTTACCATTTGCGTTATAACGAGGGTGCAGGGTAAATCCAAGTAAACCTCTCTGATCAGCTGGAGAGGCTGTCAACACAATCTTATCCGAAATATTCAATAAGACACGTGCTTCCTTGTCACGTGTTTCAAAATATCGTACGATCCCGCGTTGCTCTGCGATATAATACCTCTCGCCCCTGAATTCAATATGGATGGGATTATATAAACCTGAGGTTTCATTTCTTAGACAGACACACGTCTCCGAGGGCGACACGACACCAGGAAGCGATAGCAAGCTAACTGAGAGGCACCATATGGTAGCAGACCCGAGCACATGGCGGGAAGACATGGCGGCTCACTGGACGATCCACTGGTGTAGGTAAACAGATATACGCCCGACAGACTGTGGAGGGCAGATCACAGGACAACTGAAACAGCGAAGGACAAGGTCTGATTAGAACCAATTATAGTAACGTGCTCATCGATTTCCATCTTTGTGGCCTGCGTGGGCATGTCTCCTGCTGCCAGTTTGTTGACAATGGTGAAAGGAGATCGTTCTCCGGGGACCACAGATTATACTCTGCATTCAGAGTCGGGTTACTCGGAGATCCGGGTAACCCAGGCAATTGCGTACCTACACGGCATTAGGTGAGTGAGTGAGCTGGGCTTTCGCATTTGTCATTAATATTCCAGTAATACCCTAATAACATGGTGGAGACAGCAGAAATGGGTTTCACAGATTCGAACTTGGACTTCGTGACGACCTACCACTGTAACCACACCTGCAGACACGCCAGCATGTCGGCGTTGCCGGTTCCGTAAGGGGCGCATGAACTTCACCCCACAACCAACAGCTCCATGGGAGTTGGGTGTTAAGGCTTGGTGACTCAGCTTAATGGTGTCACCATCTATGTCTCAAATGTTTGACCAACTAGGGAAGCTTCTCATCGAATACATACTGCGAACGTTAAGAAACACTGCTTACCATTTGAATAGTGTCACTATTATCACTACAAGTGTTGACACGTTTGCGAGTGAGTGAGTTTAGTTTTACGCCGCACTCAGCAATATTCCTGCTATATGGCGGCGGTCTGTAAATAATCGAGTCTGGACCAGACAATCCAGTGATCAACAGCATGAGCATCGATCTGCGCAATTGGGAACCGATGACATGTGTCAACCAAGTCAGCGAGCCTCACCACGCGATCCCGTTAGTCGCCTCTTACGACAAGCATGGGTTACTGAAGGTTCATTCTAACCCGGACCTTCACGGGTGACACGTTTGTGAACGCTGTTCTATTTTTCTAACTTGTTAAGCTTATAGGTATATGAAGGGGCGGACCTGGTGTTTGTTTGTACCGAACGTTTAGATCCGGGATAAACTGAAGCGGGGTGTTCTCTTTTTGCCTGCACGTATTGTTTAGGGATTAAAATTACTGGACCGTACTAATCCTGCCAAATATGGGGATTAAAATTATAGTCTGCAGTAGAAATGAAAGTATGCCAGCACTTTATCACAGTTTGTTTATTGCATATAGCATCCGCAAATATACGAATATGAGTCATTTGCAAATATGGTGACATTTTTAATTTTACTAATATTGCATGTAACATAATATGCATGCACAATATTGCATGTATACAAATATACGAAAATTAATTATCTGACAAATATAATTAAATTATAAATCAGCAAATACGTTAAATGTCACACCAGGAAATACATATTTATGTGCACTGTGCATTATATACTAAGCAGCAAAAGAAACGTCAGTATTGGAATTTTCCTTCGCAGAAACGGATAACTGTAAATTCATTTAATGTTTTGATTGTATATTTTTGACAGTATCTCCAACTTTATCTGAGCAAAGACATTCCTTCCCAAACTCAGAATGGAACCCAGGAAATGGTCTCAAAAACGCAACCTGATCTCGGAGATGGTACAGTACGGTGTTCTCCATGTTTTTCAAGCAACTCATGCTGCACGTGCTGTTCACAAGGACCAGCCCTATAAAATGGACCCCCAAACCTGGTTGAAACATTCACATTACAACGTCACAGGATGCCGCAACTCAGAGAAACCAGGCGCTAGGAAGACTTGAAGCTGGCCACACTGCACAAGCCGTTGCCAATATCTTCCAGGTCAACGTTCGGACCATCTACAGGCTGCAGCAACGTTTCCGGGCCACCAACACCACAAATGATCGCTCTCGTACTGGCAGACCAAGGGTGACCCAAGACGACAAGACCGTCATGTTGTGCGACAGCATGTACAGAATCCCTTCATGCAGGCATCCGAAACAGCACGCCAGACAGTGGGAACACACGGAAGACCAATCGGTACTGATACAGTACGCCGACGTCTTAACAGCGGGAACCTCCATTGCCGTAGACCTTACCGTGGACCTATCCTCGCCCCTCGTCATCGGCGTGAACGTCTACAGTTTGCCCCCACAACACCAAAACTGGCGATACAGGCAATGGAGAACTGTTCTGTTCAGATGAGAATCGGTACTGCGTATCAACTGCAGATGGCAGAACAAGAATACGGCCAGCGTTACTCAGACCAATGTGTTATGGAAAGAGACTCATGGGGAGGTGCAAACATCATGATATGGGGTGGAATAGGCCTGAACCAGAGAGTGGGTCCTGTGGTGTTCGAGAACCTTGGTCCAGGGAAAGGAGGCGGCATCACAGCGGTGCGCTACATCGACCAAGCGCTCAGACCCCACGTCATACCACATTTCGCACGTCACCGGAACAACATTTTCCAGTATGATAACGCCCGGGCCCATACTACCAGAGCTACACGGGACTTCCATCAGCAGAACGGTGTCAACGTTATGCAGTGTCCAGCCCTTAATCCTGATTTAAACCCAGTTGAACATCTTTGGGATGAAATTCAGAGGAGACTGAATAATGTCATACCAAAGCCGAACACAGCCGATTTATTGCGCCAGGCCTTTCTCAGAGTGTAGTTCCAGGTGCCAATGGCCTTTATCAATCGATTGGTGCACTCATGCATAGACGCTGTGCTGCAGTTATTGCCGCTCGTGGTGGTCATACTAGATACTGAAGTCAAGAGTCTGAATGGACTGCAAACGTTCACGTAATGTCTTGGAATTATGCTGAGTTATTCATTGATGTGTCAGGATATTGTACACAAAAAATATTTTTGATCCGCTTATTATGTCCATTTCTGTAATGATTTGATTACAGTGCCTATCTAATTTTGAATTCGTTCTGACGTTTTTTGCTGCTGAGTATATAATTACATACAATTGTATAATTTGTTTCACATGACATAATATTATTGTCCTTCGTCGACAGGTTTTTGCAATTTAATTCCATTTGTTATCATTTTATAACTTTTTCAGTCACAATATGGCTGAAATATTGCCGATGTGACTACAAATCTTAACTCTCCCACTCACTCACTCACTCACTCACTCACTCACTCACAGCTTCTGTGGTGTATTCTCTTTTTGCCTGCACTTTAATTGGCTATAAGCGAATTAGGATTAACCGTCCAGAACACCCCATCAAGAGGTCCAACATGATAAAGCCACGTCATGCCGCCCCTACAGAACACAAGCCGCCATCGCGGTACACCAGGCCTACAGGTGTGATCAGGTCAAAACACGAATTGTGAATAATGTTAAATGTTTGCTCAAGTCATGAAATGGAATTAGAAATGTTCTCCTAGAAAGTCTTATTTGCAATCTCCTATGCAGCTCAGCGAAACCTGGTGTTATTTACAATGTAAACTATTCTGAGATAGTTCGATCAGGGCCGATGTATAGAGACCTGCGTCCCTGAGCGAGGCTAAACAACAGATCACATGTCGTCATCATGCAGTACGGTAAGGGACATACCCATGATCTGTACCTGGCCTGGCCGGCAGTGAACCCCGCCACACAGCGGCATGGTGGCTCTCACCTGACTGATGTAGGCCTCCACAACTTCTGTTATCCACAACCTCTATAATACGCAACCTGTGTAACAAGATCTTCACGCTTGAACAGTGCTGGATGTCATGGCCCCCGATGTGAATAAAGTGCACGTGATTATTTGCTCGTGCATTCGTCAACAAACAATCACTTTCTCGTGGATGTGTCATCCACTGAATACCCGGATGTCGTACTGTCGGTTTTAAGTGTCGGTGTGTTCAGTGGGTCGTGACAACCCGACATGAGATCAGAGACATGCGAGTATGTGGAGACACCTGGGTGGACTGAAGCATAACAAACAACTGAATGTGTGTAAGACAGTGTGTGTAAGACAGTGTGTGTGATGGTGGCGCTGCGTGGACCCAGCACTCACAGGCCCCGACAACACTGGAGTACAGGGTGTTCAGGTTTATATATACACATTTGTGTCCAGCATCACTTCCAGAGGGTGGACTGTGGCCACCAACGTCAATACCCCGCTGGTACATATATAAGTAACATATAAGAAATATCAAGCATTCATGTGCGATAGGCCATTTCACACTTACTGCAAGATGAGTTATGGTAATAACTGAATAGAGTTGAGTTGGAAAAAACATAGAAACTATGTCTCAATTCAAACCCAATCTTCAATAATAATAATAATAATAGTGAATTTATATAGCGCATTAATCCATGCACAATGCATGCTCTAAGCGCACATATATGTGGGTATTAAGAGTCATTCTAGAAAGGCACTATTAAATAAGTAAGTCTTTAGCTCGGATTGGAAGGAGGCAAGAGATGAAGACTGTCTGAGATTGACTGGGAGATCGTTCCATTCCTTTGGTGCACTGAAAGCAAAGGAACGTTGTCCATAGTTCACAGATTTGACAGATGGAACTTGCAACAGGAGCTTGTTTTCTGACCGCAGTGATCGAGCTGGTTTGTACTCTGTGATCAAATCACACAGATATTGTGGAGCATCTTCAGACAGGCATCGATACACATGACACAAGATCTTATAGCTGATTCTCTGTCGGATGGGCAGCCAGTGTAAGTCATGTAAGATGGGGGTGATATGGTCGTACTTCCTGCAGCTGGAGACTATCCGAGCAGCTGTATTCTGGATGTGCTGTAGTTTGTTGGTAACAGACTTGGGTGCACCGGCAAGGAGGCTGTTACAGTAATCAATCCTAGATGTTACCAGGGTGAGAATCAGGATGATAAGTGATTCTTTGGTCAGGTACTTTCTGATGTTGCTGATATTCCTCAGTTGGAAAGAGCAAACTCGGGAGATGTGGCTGACATGTTGCTTCATGGACAGTTCTGAGTCCAAAACAACACCCAAGTTCTTCACAGAACGAGTGACATCAATACTTGAGCTTCCGATCTGAACTACGGTGAGACCTGACTGGGTACATCTTGCAGATGGGCCTATTAGCATGCACTCCGTCTTGTCGTCATTAAGCTTGAGTTTATTGATGTTCATCCATTCTTTTATCTGTGTACAGCAGTTGGTAACATCGGCAGAGGCTGCTTCTGCTATGGATGCTATTGGTCGAAATATTTTAATGAGCTGCGTATCATCAGCGTAGAGGTGTCTTGGCAGCTTGTGCTGGTCGATGACCTGACCCAATTCCTTGGTATAAAGAGTGAATAATATCGGGCCCAATACTGAACCTTGAGGCACACCGCAGTTTAGATGTACTGAATCTGAGAACTGTCCATCAATGTACACACACTGTGATCTCTGAGACAGATAGGAGCTAAACCAATTCAGTGCAGATCCTTGGACACCAAAATCGTCCTGAAGTCGCTGCAGCAGTCTTTGGTGGTCGATGGTGTCGAAAGCCGCGCTCAAGTCCAAGAGAACGAGCAGAGCAACATTCCCCGAGTCGATGGCACATCTCAGGTCATTGACGACTTTCAGGAGAGCTGTCTCGGTGCTATGTCGAGGGCGATACGCTGATTGAAGTGGATCATACAAGTTGTGCAGGGTCAAGTGCTGTGACAGACGTTCTGCAACAGCTCTTTCAATGAGCTTGGAGAGGAATGGAAGGTTAGAAACAGGTCTGTAGTTCTTGAGATGTTCTGTGTCGAGGTCAGGTTTTTTAGGAGTGGCTTCACGATAGCATTTTTCAGAGAAACGGGCATTGTACCTTCGTGCAGGCAACAGTTGATGATTGATGTCAAAGTGGGCAGGAGGATATCCATACAACTCAGTACAATGTTAGTTGGAATCGGGTCGAGTACACAGCAAGTCGGTTTAGACTTCCTAAGAAGTTTTAGTGTTTCTGGGACTGTGAAAGGGGGGAAAACATTCAAAACAGGTTTGTCATCAAAAGTGTCATCACATCCTAAAGACGGCGTCAGTGTTTCGCTGTCATGGAGTGTGCTTCTAATATTTTTGATTTTTTCCTGAAAGTACATTGCAAATGAATGAACAATTTCTTTGGTGGTACCAATATCAGGTAAGGGATTATCCGCGGACTTCCCCATCAAGTTAAACATCAGCTTGTACAAGGCGTTAGAGTTAGATTTGCTGTCACTGATTTTAGAGTTCATGAAATTCTGTTTAGCTTGTTTGATGATAATGCTGACCTTATTTCTGGCTGCACAGTAAATCTGACGGTGTACTTCCAGACATGACTTCCTCCATCTCCTCTCAGCTACCCGTCTCGCTGACTTGGCTTTCTTGACATCTGGACTGTAAAGCCAGGTAGCTTCAGGTCTGTGGGGGATTCGCCTGACCTTCTCTGGGGCATGTTTGTCCAGGAGCTCTAGAAGTACTGTGTTGTACATGTCTACATATGCTTCACAGGTTGAAGGAGGATCGGTCAACAAAGGTGACGTCAACAGAGCTGAACGAAAAGTAGCAGTATCCATGTTTTTTTATGTTTCTACACCTAATATATCTGACTGGATGCGATGGTCTTGTGATATCAATGTTCAGGGTTACTAAGTAGTGATCTGAGATCTGATAGTCGGTTACTCTGGAATCAGTTATGATGGGGTCAGTCTCTCTTTTTATAACCCAGTCCAAAATGTGGCCTGATTTATGAGTTGGCAAGCCTATGATTTGATGACAGTTGTGAGCTTCTAGCAGGCTGAGCATCTGTAATGTATTACTTTTGGTTGCTACATCAAAGTGAATGTTAAAATCACCCATGATTATAGGTTGTTTTCTGTCGACACAAATTTGATGCAAAAGAATAGAAAACTCCTGATAGAAAACTGAGAATGACAACTGGTTTTTCTTTGACGGGGGGTGGACGATAGAGAGATACAATGTCAGTGGCAGTTTTGCCATGAGTCACCTGAAACTGCATTGACTCAAAGGAATTAAACTGATCCACATGGCGGAATTTCACATGAAGATTATCTCTGTAGATAACCGCTAAACCGCCTCCACGCGTCTGTCTTGGTTGGTGTCTTGACTTGTATCTAGGGGGCGTCATACTGGCAAGTTTGGACTCATCACCCTGAGCTCTTAACCATGTTTCTGTTACGACCATGATGTCGATGTCACAATCCATAATGGTGTCCATGATGATGTCACTTTTGTTACAAGCTGATTGAACATTCCAGAGACATAGCTTCAAAGTAGGCGGTAATCTACGGGGCTGTATGTAGATGAGATTGTCATAATTGATTGATGAAGCAATCTGATTGGAGTTGTGGTTGAGTGGCCTGTGTCCAATGAGAACACTGATAGGTCTCTGCTTACGCCGGCCAGCCTTTTTACCCCTTGGTCTTTTCCTTGAGCTTCTAGTATGATCAGTTCTTTTGTGTAACAAGGATTGCATGTAGCTGAGGGCAGCCCTTAGCTTTTGAGATGATATGTCGGCTTGGGTACATGACTGACCAACATCAGTCAGCTCTTGCCTACTGTATTGGTATTGGTGTCGATCAAGCATGACTTGGCTTATCCAATCAAGTCTCCAACAATGGGAAGGTGCACTGGTGTAGTTAGTGAATTTGTACTCACTATCAAAACTACACAATGATAGCAGAAATATTTCCATCAAAATCCATCCATAGACTGAGCAAAAAGCAAGTATGACCATATTATTGGCATCTGTGAACCTTCAGAACACTCTATGCAGAAAATCACACATGTAGATAGTATATATCCATGAAAAAATGCAGGAAAGAGTGAGAGCTAGTTGTGAGCCCTGCTGCCTGTTAGGCGCTTGCTATAACCACCTGTGCAGGAGATATGTACAGGGGATATGCACAGGGGTGATGTGCAGGGGTTATGTACAGGTGACATGTGCAGGGGATATGTACAGGTGACATGTGCAGGGGTTATGTACAGGTGACATGTGCAGGGGATATGTACAGGTGACATGTTCAGGGGATATGTACATGTGACATGTGCAGGGGATATGTACAGGTGACATGTGCAGGGGATATGTACAGGTGACATGTTCAGGGGATCTGTACAGGTTACATGTGCAGGGGATCTGTACAGGTGACATGTTCAGGGGATATGTACAGGTGACATGTGCAGGGGATATGTACAGGTGACATGTTCAGGGGATCTGTACAGGCGACATGTGCAGGGGACATGTACAGGTGACATGTGCAGGGGATATGTACAGGTGACATGTGCAGGGGATATGCACAGGGGTGATGTGCAGGGGTTATGTACAGGTGACATGTGCAGGGGATATGTACAGGTGACATGTGCAGGGGATATGTACAGGTGACATGTTCAGGGATCTGTACAGGTGACATGTGCAGGGACATGTACAGGGGATCTGTACAGGTGACATGTGCAGGGGACATGTACAGGTGACATGTGCAGGGGATATGTACAGGTGACATGTGCAGGGGATATGTACAGGTGACATTTGCAGGGGATATGCACAGGTGACATGTTCAGGGGATATGTACAGGTGACATGTGCAGGGGATATGCACAGGTGACATGTGCAGGGGATATAATAATAATAATAATAATAATGTCCATTTGTATGGCGCCGTTTCCACACACTAGTGTATGCTCAAGGCGCCCCGTGTGTACAGCTAAAAAACAACTGCAGGAATTGTGCAAGTCATTCGTAATATTTCCTGAAAAGATGGGTCTTCAATGAAGATTTGAATAAGTCAAGAGATTGTGCTGTTTTGATGGTTATGGGAAGACTGTTCCACAGTGAAGGAGCAGCATAGCTGAATGATCTGTGACCATAGTTCTTGAGATT